TCCGAGTTTTGAGGAAGTCAGCCTTGCGTCTCATTCTTGAGACCTACCCTTGCCTTTTGCTATGTAATTATATTTTGTCTTGCCGGCAAGGACTTTATGTATATCTGTAAATAGTCTGTCATAGGTTGACTCGTTTTGGATGATCTTGTCTATAATGAATTTTGGGAAACCGTACTTTTGAAGTGGGTTATTAACATAACTGACTAAGGTCTGTTGATGTGCATATAAGCACGGCTCTATAGACAAACTTTTTATTTATTGCTTTCGTTTGGCCCCTTTACTCTGACAAGTTATGTCTGTTTTGGTCTGAGGCCGTAGGTAATCTCAAGATTGCTGGCCGGTTAGGTCCTTAACCCATAGGGGTGGGTTCGGGTCATGACAGACTCAGTTTGATCTTCATTTCAAGCACCCAAATTACATAGTCAACATACACCAAAGCCAACTCAAAAGGCTTACCTGCGGCTCCTACCTTTGAAATTTCTACCTATAGTTAAGAATGACCATGGAGTCTAACATCAGTTCATTTCAACAAGTTCAACAAGTCTTCTGAAAAATGATCCCAAATTCTAACTGCATCAGTAAATTTCAAAACATTTGTAGTCAACTCTTGTGAATCTCAATAGTTTCACATGTTAACTCCAAAATTTACGTTCAAAACATATACACTTACAAAAGAAGAAAATTCTTGGTACTGTAGTTATGCCATCTCCTTCTTACTCTACTCGACAACCAACCCAAATGTGACTAACTTTGTCTTTCGGAAAAATTTGGTTTAGTCCACTAGTTCTGACATCCATATTTCCAACATCTGTCCTTAGTATATTCTAATCATCACCAAAGTCTCAACCGGGCCATACCACACTCAGTAGGTTTAACTTCTACCTCATTCTATTTTAAAAACTCTTTATAACAACAAACTATTCACCATACAATAAAAGTCTTTACTATCCTAACACTACTACAAAAAGAGTAAAAGATCACATTTTGACAAATGAAAATATCTCACTTTTATTGGAAGTGTGATAAAACAAAAATTAGATTGATATTTTAATCACACTTGATTTGATTAAGTGTGATAATACTTATTTTTTATGTCACTTTTTAATTAAGTGTGATTATGTGTATACTTTTTAATCACACCTTCTAATTAACATGTGATTGAAGATCCATAAGAAGAATTAAAAATATCTCACTTTTATTAAAAGTATGATTAAAAAAATTAAAATAATTTTTTAATCACACTTAATTTAATGAGTGAGATAATATTTTTTTATCACATATTTTAAATAAATGTGATTATATATATTTATACAAAATCTAAATCCTAGCCTAACCTAATCACCCTAACCTTATATATATTATACAAGGTCTAAACCCTAACCTAACACTCCCTCTTACTCTATCTCTCACTCTCCCCACTCTTTATCTCTTCGGCCTCCTACATTGTCGCCTCTGGTGGTGCCATTGGCAACCACCACTACCGCCACCTTCACGATGGCGCCACCTCCGCCTCCTCACTCACCACCGTCTCTCTCTTCTCCTATTCTCTTCACCTATCATCACCAGTCGTCTACTTCGTCTTCTCCACTCTCGTCGTCAGTTCAAGCTTTGTCGGTTTGTCTCCATTGCCGTCGGGTAACAAGCATCGCCATCGGCGCACAAGAGCACCACCGTCGATCCATGACCCCAAGCATCTCTCTCTCTCTCTCTCTCCCTCTCTGTATGTCCCGCCGACTGGGGATTCTTAAGGTACACAAACTCAAATCGAGCATTCCCTTTCATTCCCCTTGTCGAACCCCCTTATCATTTGTTTATGTCATGAAGCTTTGTGCCGACTGAGGCTTGTTGAACCTTGTTGATTATTATAATCTGTTTTTGCTAGTGTATATGACATTATATATATATATATATTGGTGTGCAACTAGGTTGATTTAGATTTATCTGGGTTTGGTTTGCTTTGTACCTATGAATTATCTCTTTCCTTTCCTCTACACTTGAAATTAGCTTCCTCCATGAATGGGCTTTCTGTAGCTAATGGTATTGATGATAACCTCTGGTTTGCTTGGTTTAATTTGATCTTCTGAACAACAATTAGGCTAAAAATATGAATTGACACTGAAAATCTATTAGCAGTAGTATGACTTGCTAGTATAGCATTGTAAAACTAGAGTGCATAAAACAAGGCTTATTCATTATTCTTCATCAATTTTCAATGTCAGGTTTCTCAGGCACACATGCCTCCAACGTCATAGGTTTTTCAGTTAGAAGAGAGATAGTTTTGACCTGTAAGAAGGACAAATTGAATAAACATGTTTTCTGCCCCAAACCCAAATTTATATCCAATCAGTGATGACTTATGAAACATAGACATGAACTTGGGACATGAAATAACTAGGCAAGGACACACAGGCTGCGTGGATCCTAAAATCTACACTACATGGCAACAAGTTGGGGTGTGTATGTGTGTGCATGCTATAACAGCAGCCGAGTGTCTAAAATTATTAAAATTACTTTGAAACCATGAGACAGGACTACTTGTTGAGTATGCTAACTACTTGATGACACAAAATGCGTCAAATCAAACAATGGGGTCAGACAGACTAAAATAGTAATCTGTCAATATAGGAAAAAGATTTTTATTAACTTACCTTGTCCTGATTCTCTTCAATTTCAATACCTCCACATTCTGAAAAGCTAATGGTACAAGTATTTAACACATCAGCTGGAAGACCATTTATAATGTCGACTCTTACTTAGCTGTATAGTATGTTGGGAAGAAAAATGGAATAATGTGAAACTGTGATAGACAACAGAAACTTTGGAACATAATTTAGTGCTGGGATTGCCAATTAAAAGAGCACCATGTAAGCCAAGTAGTTGTTTAGTTTAAAATCTAACATCTGACTTGTCAGTAGAGTGGACATTTTCTATATTTAGTTGAACAATTTCCATAGTTTTTAAAAATTTCTCTGTTTCATTAAGTTCTAGATAATAAACGATCTAACCTTTAAATCTTACTTTATCTCTAGTCCAACCTTTTCCAAGCAACCAAATAGCCCTTTCCTTTATATTCATATTTTTCAATTATGTTTTTCACCTTTTCCTTTATATTAATTAGATTACTATAGGTGCCAACTATAACTTTAACACCCCTTCCAAAGAGGGTAGAAAAAAATACATTGTGAAATTTTTTGATTTTAAAAAATATTATTGATGCTTAGGTTTGATGTGTAACCTTCTGTATTATTTTATGTTCCCTTTCCAAATACATGCTGAAAACAAATTGCTTTTTTAAAATGGTTTTCTTGAATCTCCAAATTATAATTCTTTCTACTTATCAAGCTTATTTTATCTTTTGACCTATCCAACATCCTTTCTACTTATAGTGATACTTACACTGTTATTACCATTTATGGGGAACATTTGCAATAATTAATAGAAACTATCATTCTCAAATTTGTGGCTAGAGCGTTCAATTATTAATAGTATATATTTTCACTTACATGAAAATATGCAAAAACATTAATATTTGGGAATGTCTTTATATAAAATCCAATTCAATAACATTTTCAGAATTGGTCATACTAGTTCATTACTTAAATATGTAAAACACACTTACACGACAATGTCGATTGATTTAGTTATCTTCACTCCTTAGAATGTATGTAATATTATTTTGAAAATTATATGTGGAACTCTTTCTATCAAGTTATTGTCAAAATTCATTCAATGGTACAAACTACTTGGGCTTTAATCATTTAAATAGGCTTTGTCTCTCTAAAACATTTCTCAACAACAAATAATGAGATATAGAATGAGTGCTGATACTTTAATCATTTAAATATGACACATTTTTCATAGTTAAAAGTGGTTGTAACAATAATGCTAAAATCAAAACTTCACTCTTTTAAAATGTTTTTGATTCTTCTTCTTCTTCTCTATTTTTTATTTTATTTTATTTTATTTGTTTATTATTATTTTTTTTTTTTTTGTAGTTTGGAATTATACGTGTTACCAATGGAATCCTATATGAAAATATCAAATATATGTATCTAGAAGGAGAGTGTATCAAAAAGTTGTACATTTTATAAAGAATATACAATCATTTCAAGCTTGACTAATGACAGTGGGTGGGAATTCAATGCAGAGATTGACTTCTTGAAGTTCAAGCCTTGCAGCAGCAGTAGTGACAATATTTGTTCCAACAAAAACAAACAGTGGACACTAAGAAGGCAATTTCTCTTCTCATCCAACATATGGAAAAGGTAAAGTTGGTGATGTGAATCATGACTTTACATTTTTAATCAAATCAATTATGTTTTAATTACCCACAATTTTTTTTTTCAATTAACATATGATTGTATTTTTTGTTGCACATGGCTTTCCTTATGTATACACCTAAAACTCAGTCCTTTCCCTATACAACACTTTTAAAAAGTTGAATACTCTGTTGATTTAAACCTTACTACATGCTATATGAACATTTCAGAATAGAGGAGAAAATGAAGGGCCCCAAAGGCTTATATATTTACAATATCCATACATTTTTCTTAATCTATACTCTCCAAATTTGAAATTCAATCCCAAGGTATATGCATAACATTTAGTCTGTGCTACCCTTATGGTGATCGTTTGCATTCCTTCAACTCATTGCGATGTCAGATTGAACCTTAGGATTGTGATTGGCTTATGACCATTCGCTCCATTGGATCTGCATACTTATATGAATACATATTGGTTTGATTTTCATGTTACTTGATCTTATATGAATACATATTCACTCCATTGGAGTAGTTTTGAAGTTGGGCCTTATCTTTTATTTTTTTGTACTTCACTTCCACTAATTTTTTTTCTTCTCCTTTTCATCATCAGATGGACAAAAGGTTGAATCCTTTCTACCCGTGGAAGGTAATATTTTGAGTTATGTTTTGATTATTATTATTATTTTAATCACTCTGTTTTTATTCTTTTATTTGTCTGCCTAAGACATGCACTTAATGACTTCACCCATTGCTTTTGATTAGATCTGATACTTGATTTTACAAGTTTTTGGGATTTCTTCAGTTGTTTTATCCACGCAATGGGTTAGGTCGATGTTGTTCCTTATATTTACGATTATTCTGAGTTGCTACTGATCCTTTCATCTAGGATACTGGTGTGGCGTCTACTACTTTGGATCGTTTACCTGGTGGCATCATTCAAGCCAGGTCAGATTTGGAGTTAAAACCCCTATGGTCAAAAAGTAGTTCAAAGTCAGGTTAGGTTTTGATCTTGGTATACTTTGGAATCAATACACAAACTTCCTTAGAATCATGTATTTTGTCTTCAAGTCACAAACTTTAATTCACAACGAGTGTTATTATTATTATTTTTTAAATATATAAATAGTAACATTTTAAAGTGGTGTTAGTTATGTAGAAGATCAGTACTTCATACTTGTTGCCATCGTGCATCTTTTCTTTACTTTTCAGGTTAATGTTTCAAGCTTTCATATCTTCCTGGCAATTCCAGTTGGTATTAAACAAAAAAGTAATGTTGATGACATTGTTCAAAAGGTATAATTGTATAACTGTTTATTAATGGTTGGTGTTTAAAATCTGTATCAGTTGTTAACTTAAGACATGTCATTTTGTTGACATTATTTGCCTAATTTTAGTGAATTCAGTTTCTTTGAGAGAATTTTACAATTATGTTAGTCCATCATGATGGGAATGTGGATGGGTGGCGGGAATTGCTTAGTCATATGATTTTGTCTATCATATATGCTCGGGCCCTAACATAGTTTTTCTATTTTACCTTTTCAGCGCTACCAATATCATCTCTCTTCCCATTCCTTTATTTCATGGTGAGTATATATTTTACCTTTTCAGCGCTAGTTTTTCAGCTATATTTCTAGCAAGTCTGTTACTCTAATTTTTTTGGATATCTTTTGTTTCAATAATCTTTAATTTCTATGTGGTTTGTTACTCAATAATATTGACAGCAGGTTTGTCCAATTTAATTACTTTATTGATGTTTATATTATTAATTCTTATAGTTTGTGCTTGAAACATTGTCTTTGAAGCATTGTGTTTGCTTAATAGGCTCACATTAGGTAGCTTGACGACTTCCTTAGGACCTTTCATATCCAAACATTGTGGTAAATGTTTGATTTTGTATTCTTACTAAAGCAATGATTGATCATTGTTATTCTGTGATTATTTCTTTGGTTGGTTGTCTAACTTGACTATACATGAGCATTTCATGATAAGGATCAGTAGAGCATTTGAAAACCGAATGATGTTAATAAATTGATTAAATTAAGAGCTTGAATTGTCCACATGGTTCAATAAAAGTGATGTGATCTAGTTAGTGCCTGTTGAAATGTAAACATTAGTTTTAGATTGAGGAAAGTGCTACACCTAAATATTTGGTTTTGTAGGCACAAGCTTTTGACTGATGCAATGTATGTCTTCATTATTTTTTAAAGGTTTGTCTTTGAAGGAATTGATGAAGGATCCCTGAATGGAGCTCTAGACCGTGCATTTTCTCACTATCGAGAGAGTAAGTACAACAGAGTTTTCATACCTTGCATTTCCCATCTTGTGTTTATTAAAATTTCAAGAAATTCCATAGTTTTGTTACACTATGATTTACATCCTTGCCGCTAAATTCAAACAGTTGGAGATGTTTCTTTCTTCTCTAAATCTTACTCAGTAATTACCACCAAATTCAAACAATTTTTCATATCCAATAACTATTACAATAATTTTGTACCTTCATCAAACTATAAATGGCTAATCAGTTTACTCAGTCGTCAAACTATTCAAAAATTCAAAACACCACTCATACCACTTGTCCTATATATAAAGTATACAAGTTGTTTAGTGTGAATTATTTGTCACACTCTTTGCATTTTTCCAAAATGCCCACAATAATTGATAAGTTTGAAAATTGCGATGTGAGAAAATTAAACTGATTCAATATTTTAAAATTAAACTGATTCAAGCTATGTCTCTTAACTGTTATCTCCATTTTTTTGTTTGCCCCAGGTATGCATTAGATGATATTGGTTCTGGATCTCATGTGCATCTCAGTTTGTGTCAGAGTTGAACCCATATGAATAGGTAGTTTGGTACTAACAGAGAAGTATGCATTTTTACCAGTTCTGTTAAAATATCTTGTCTACATAGAATTATTTTTTAAGCATGCAGTTATATTTGGAAATTTGATGGGTGAACTATTGATCTTGAGGAAAACCTTTCACGGTGATGTTTCCATCGATGGGTGTACCAATTTGTAATTATTCAGGCTATGTGGTTTCTGCTTTTAAGACCAATAAGGTTTATTGATCCTTATTTGTTTTATAGTTTTTAGTGAGTTATATGTTGATATCATATGATTTTGATTGTCCATATAATACTCCATTTTATCATTTATGTGATCCTTTCTGCATTGTTGCATATTGTCTTCTTTTGTGGTGCTGTTTTACTGATATTTGTGTGGAGAATCAAAATAATTATGTCATTTTTGGTGGCTGTGGGGAAAGGATTGGGGGCAGTTTAACAACTGGATAAATTATATTATTTTTGGTGTGATCTAAATGTAAGTTTATAAATTAATTAGTAAGTTTATTCATATGCTTCTGGCGGTTTTTAAATTAAATTTTTTTTTTTATTTTTCAGGTCAAAAATTTCTTGGAGATATGCAAAATATGGTCAAAGAATTCAAGAACTTACTTTTTTCAAGTTTTTTATTTTTTATTTTTTTGGCGACGGCACCACATTGTTACAAAAAACATTAGAGCTAAAATGTATTTTTTTTGGTGACATAGGCAATGCCGTCGTAAAAGAATTTTGGCGATAGAGGTTATGCCATC